AGTGCATTATTTTGTTTAACAAATCGTTTTTTTTCAATCTGCATGGCATTCAATTATTTACGTAGAAAAGTGAAAAAAAGAACGGAAAAGCCTATCAAACAAATTATATATTCACACCAAAAATTGTCCAGATTGGCTAGTGTGATGCTATTGTTTTCCTCAAGCCACTTCATTTGCATGTAAACAAACTAAATTAATAAAGGAAAAAGGAAAGGGAAAACACAAAAACACTTAAGGGGCGAAGCTCTGAAATTTGTACGATTGCTTCAGCTTTGTGGCTCCTACTTGAGCACTTATGCATACATACTTACATATATGTAGTACAAAAAAAAACGTACATATGTATGTTTAATAAATCATGAAAACTCAACAAAAGGGCAGTTTTTTTCGTTTTTTTTTTTTGTATGGCGGAAGTTAAGCTTCGTTGCTTCAAGCGTGCAGCTGCGTGCAACAGTTGCTACCAAAAGTACCTAACCATATCATTAAAGTTGGCTTTACGGTTGTTAAATTTTTACCTACTACGCATATATGTATAAACATAAGTACATAAGTACATATTCGTCCGATATAAAATGAAGGGGCTAATGAATTTAAATTTTCAAAGCTGTTGAGGATTTCGTTTTTCCTCTGCTCTTTATTAGTTGAAGATTAATGATTTCCACAGGGAGGGGGGCCTCCACTGATTTACTTACATACCTATGTACATATGTAAAGTTTATTATGAAAAAGCTGAAATTTCACTACGTCGCATTATGTAGCAGATTAATTTTCATTGTGCTTGAGGCCCAACAGCTGGCGCCTACTGTCTAGTTAGATTGGGTCATTCTACTCAAGTTTCGTTAATAATTTGCTTTTGTTGTGATCAACGGAAAATGTTTGGTGATGGTTTACTTCACATCGTGGTTAAATCAATCAAAAATTTGTACAACATTAGGTAATACACAATTTTTTAATTACAATAATAGCTTGTGAAAGTGGAGATGGTTGCGAGATAAGCTTATTAGGAAAGAAAAATGCAATATAAAGGTGGCCTATACAATATGTATATTTTTGGTAGTTAATAAACATAGGTACATTAGGGTGTATCATTCTCATTAAAAAATTATGCTGTTTTTCCATCGCAGTTATAAATTTTACTATATTTTAATACTTTAGCCAAACAAGGTATTTCAAAAAATTTAGTTTTTTTTCATAAATAAAATTCGTTTAAAGAATTTATTTTTCTCAAAAATCACCCCAGATTATAAAAGAGTTTAAGCTTAAAAAGTGTGCATACAAATGTTTAAAAATTGTATCAACTGAATCAAAACAATATTTTTGGAGGTATTTTCAAATCGGTCTAGCTCAGGAAAATCTTAATATTTTTATTAATATATTTTTATTTATTAAGTTTTAAATTATAATATCTAAATGTTATAATTCTGGTGGAAAACCCGTAAACTTTTTTTTTTTTTTGTTGAGACACCCTAATGTACATCCATACATATTCTTATATTTCTACGTTAATCTCGTATGTAAAATGGGTAATCTTCACATTTCTCTTGCGGCACATGCCTCGGCATTTAAAGCCTCAAGGCCAGGGACTACGGTGGGAAAAATAGGTGGAGAAGGAGTAGTCTACGTGACTGTAGTGACAACCAAACTGAACTCAAAACATTCGTTTGGCAATGCAAAGTCTCGACTAAATTATGTTGAAAAACATAAAAATCCTGTTTTACTCCGGGTACCATGTTACCCGGGAGTACCTGATCATTAGGCACCCAACCATTTGGATAGAGAAGGCTCACGCTAGGCATTCCTTGGTCCGCACCCAGTTATAGCACACCCACCTTCGGTCATCGAAATCACTGTCGAAGGACTGCAGGTGGGCAAAACTCATTTTGCTCCCAATCTCAGAGGATCTTGCCAGGCGATTTCTTTCCTGCTTGAAAAAGGTGGTATAGCTGCCCAGTCTGCTGTCTCCTTTTTTTTAAGTTCGACCCAACTAAACCAGCCCCAGTGTACCAAACCTCCCATTAAGTTCGGAATATGGGTATCCTGTATTCCAGAGTGCTACATCTAGAATAGATATGTTAAAATTCCTAGAGATTTCCAATCTTGGAACCATTTTCATTAGCGTCATGTGTCCGATTTTGAAGTCGAAGGCATTTTCAGTGCCGCAGTTGTAGCCCCTTTTTCTATTATAATTGGAAAGGTAGGTAGGTATATTTCACAATTCGGAGTAATTTATTTTGCTTTAGGATGAGCTCTTTCTCCAATAAATGGTACAATAAAACCCATTTTGTAACGATCTGTGACACCTCAACTGTATCGAAACTACAAATTAAGAGATGTGCGCGGGATATCCGCACCCGCTGGAGCCACGGTACTAATTTTAAAATGGCCGGGATGACCACATTGTACAAACGTTTGTGTGACCGAAGACCGAGATGCACGCACAGCGCAACAGAAATTATTCCATACTAGAAATGTTAAATAAGAATTTCGAAGTATTTCTTCAAGTATGATATCAAACATGGGAGGCTAGCAGCTTTCAGCTCCATATTAAGCTTTTCATAAAAGCGCACAGAGTTTTCGAAAGTATACAGTCTTATGTTTTAAAATTACCCGTTCTATACCTTAATTATGGCGGTGTGAAAGCTTCCCTATAGAAAATGCATTCTTTGAACATTAAGACCAGCCCACTTTAGATTTTCTCCTTTACTAAGATTTTTGGTCAACATCCTGACCCAGCTGACATGGAGTGTTCCATATCTACCAAAATGTTGAAAATGCATAGAGAAATCGATTAGGACATATTTGCCTCCTCCCTCACCTTTGTTAAATAGGGCTGGGGCTATCCATGTTTTCGGATATTCGTGTATGTATATGGATAATCCGGATATCCGGTTAATATCCGTTAATTTTGCTATATTCATTTTGTTATCTGGATATTCAAAATTTTTAAGCATATATTCGAATAATCGAGTTATCCGCAAATTCAAAAAATTCGGATAGAACGCCCAATCCTAGTACTAGTGATATTTTAAGTAAAAGTTGATGCGTCTCAAGAAAATTCGCGTATTTCTATTATTTCAGGGACTTCTATATAGAAAAGCCCTGGACCGCATGACATCCAAAAATAGCTTTAACCAGTTTACTCTGTCTTTGGTTACAGTCTTAAAGACTAGATAACAGATAGACAGTAGTAATTAAAAACGAAATAATAAAGATACAAGTATTATTTATATGAAACATAAATCAATAGACGACTTTTATATGTATCTGGACAATGAAAACTCAAGATTTAGACTTTTTGAGATAATGTTAAATACAGTAAGAGCGCGGAAAATCGCTTCGAAATGGTAGTGGTTAGCCTTAGCAGCATTTAAGTAAAACGGCAAAGATGAGCGCAGACATCTGTGAGGCACATTAAAGGATATCTTCGCAAGAAGTATTGCACAATCAAAAGAACCAACAACGAGATCAAAAACAAACATAAGCAGCTGGACAAGTTTTTTAGTTTCAAGAGATTATGAGTCGATAAGCATAGGTACATTAAGAACAGCAAGGTAGCATCAGGTCATCAAAATTAAGGGATCTGAAAGCAAAATGAAAGAACGAACTTTACACTCTTACGACTCTGGTAGCATCGCAGCCGTAAATATACATATGATAGCAGGGTACTCTTTTTGAGCTTACTAAATATGTATATAAATAATGCTTTTCTGCTGTAAGCGTCCTTAAAGGCTTTCGCAAATATATGTAGGTGAGCTAGGCTTTTGGAAACACATAACATATATGATTACCAAACTCTCTTATTTATTTATTTATTTATTGTGATTTTGTGGCTAGAAAAAAATGTTTGACGATTTGGGGAAGAACATATAAAGCATTTATTAACATTTGAGTAAAGTTTGTTGATACGAAGCCAATTGACCATCTGAAAAAATATTTATTTAAATGAAATAGTTTAAGATCATCGACATAGAGTAAAAATCTGTAGAATTTGAAGCAGGAGCCCGATGTCACTTATAAAAAGTGATGCCAAGATGCAATCGTGGGAGAACAACTGACGTTGCCACAAAAAAGTGGGACTTACAGCTTTCGACTTCAACAAACAAGGACTTATTGGAAAGTTAAGATCCAACTTAAAAAAAAGAAAATCGAAAATCTTTCCAGAAATCTATATGGTCTTAATATGAAAACCGTCTTTGAATGCTGAGAAAGAAGAAGAATGCAAGTTAGCAACAATGGAGCGCCTGGTAACAAACCCGTGTTAGTGCACATTAACAAAGCTCTTCCTGCAGGATTTAGTCAGAAATACTCGGGAAGATACCTAGCACTGAAGAGAGATTATCTCTTATATTTTTTTCGAAAAGTTCAGATCAAACAGTCAGTTTAGCAATAGGCCTATAGTTAGCGACATCATTTCAATTGCCAGATTTGAGTACTCGAGTGATGGAGGCAGTCTCCATCTATAAATTAATGTACCAGGAGACAGAGATATATTAAAGATATGACATAGAGGAACACACAAGGATAAGCTGGAATTCTTCATAACATAAGCACAGCGGCCAATATTTTAGTGATAATCTCAAGTCTCAGACTGGAAAATAATTGGCAAAGAATTTCGCTTCACAAAAATGTGAGTCCACTGGACTATAATTATACATACATACCGATTATAAAGGGAACGGACTTAGGCATCTTCTATACCAAGTAAAAGTATTTAATGCACAGCTGCTGTTTGACTTTTTGTCGCACCTTTGAGAAAAATTTTTATTTTTAGAATATCTGAAGGATACACTTACATAAAGATACTTTAGAAAAATTAAGTTTTAAAATATTGGAGATTATGTATACATATGTACATTTATTGAATAAATTTCGTTGTACTCGTATTGGATATACATATGTATGTACATGTGACACAGTTGCTGGAAATTTTCGCAACATTCACAACATTACAATAAAAGATTTAAGTCTCTTAGGTAGTATAGATTTAAAAGGATACGTACATTTTAATTAAAATTCATTCCAAATTAATCACATAGTATTCCATGGGCTTGCGCAATCCACAGCATCAATATGGTTTAATTATTATTTTTTGATTTTTAATACAACTTTTTTTATTTGATAGTTTTAATTTCACTTTGACAGTATACAACCAACAAAATGCACCAAATTCGTTTGTTTATCCTTTTTAATCACAAGGATTGATTTTCGATTTCTTTTTTTTTTTGGTTCAACAAATTTTTTTTAAATCCTTTTTGTTCGATTTAACTTTTTCTCAATCTCAACAGGAGTACTACATATATTCACTTTTGGGTTTTTGTTTGTAAAAAATGTGTGTATTTGTGGATAATTTAAAATTTTATCACTACACCAGCAACTTTAAGAAGATTCCAGCAAAAATTTGCATCGTTTACTTTAAATTCTCCGAATCAATCAAAACCTTACTTATTTATTTGTGTATCTACACATATGTATGCAATTTAGCTGTACTACCAGCGCGTTTGTTATCCAAGCGGGTTGGGTGCTTATCATCCGGTAAAACGTTGCGCGACGTTCCAGAGCGTTTTTCAAACTACAAGCCATGACGCGAAAAATATTAAAAAATAGGGAAAAAGCAGAGCGTGCGCGTGCATCAACGTCCAGCAGCAGAGAAGAATGCACCAGATGGGAAGGCGTCTACGAGTGTGTTTGTGAGCAAGAGAGCGTTTTAAAGCGAACGCACGGCAAATGGTTGGATTGGTGTATGCGCGCTGAAGAACCAATTTCCAATTATGGTGGACATATAATTCCAATAGAGAAATTTATGCGTCGTAGAGAGCCAACAGCAGCGGCAAGCAACCAGAATTGGAAAACCAAGATCAAACCTAAGTGCATACATATGTACATAAATACCAGCGCTTGAGCACAGCAAATACAGTACAGCGTTTCAAGGGATGGACGCCCGACACAAAGAGAATTGAACAACAAAAGAGTGGAATGTGGTGCTGTGCGCTCCAATTGTTGTTTGACTGGATGGCTGAAATGAAAGAGCCACCAGCTCACTGGTTGTGTGGTAAACATATGCCCATACTAACTTAGTATTACTTAGTATACATACATACTTGCTATTTCGGAGAGTGGCAACGCATCGCTTCCAATATACCATGGAACACATTTGCAACGTACACACATCCATGCATACATACATACGTATGTATTTTCATAGTGCCACAGGAATAATTTATACTATGCAGGACCTACACTGGCACTCATGTATATACCCTGCAGGAAATGGATCTAACTATAAGCTAACTTTTAGTTGATTAGGAAGGGGCTAAAAGTCACTGTATATTTTCTTAAAGGAAAGCTAACTATATTTCTATGGGGATGGCCGCGAAATAGTCAAGGCTGGTTACCTCTGCATTTGATGTAACTAACTACTTTTGGATATAAAATATCAATAGGGAAAACAAAATAAATATTTTTTTTGTATTATTTTATTTGTATTTACTTTATTTATTTTATTACATTTCATATTTGTTTGCATATTCTGCTTTAGGTGGTCCCATATTCCAACTCCGTCAGACATAACTTCAAAATGATAATATGAAATTTCGATCTACCTTTTATTTGTCCTCAATTCGAAAAAATAATTGCGAAGTGCAGGCTATTTAAATAGAAACGCGTTCAAAGAAAACAATCTGCTTCATTACTACTGCATTACTTGTCAACTAGTTTCAAGTTAGCTTTTTGTAGCTAACTACAAGTTATATATTTTATAGAAATCCCGCAAAAAAGCTAACTACAAGTGGGTTATTTTTTATCAATTGATACTTTTTCCTGCAGGGTATGCATGTGTGTATACGTGTGGGGTTTCTCTTGTGCGCCTGCATATTCCCCGTTACGTCGAAAAACATTTTTCGCATCTGCAACAACACTCTCAATTCACTAGGATGCCAAACAGACTGTTGCAACAACGAAAGCAACAAAAGAGATCACAGACAACGAAAAGCGTATTTTTTTCTTGCTGTTTAGTTTGTGGTACAGTAGCGAAGAGGCGAATGATGAAATATTCTTACATACATACATACATATCGTCACCTGGATAAAAGATTGCCGTATGTGACTTTCGGCAGGTTTTGGAAAATCGCGATCGAAGTTTGGAATGAAATTTCTCAAAAAACGCGACGATAGATTTTCTTCAAAATCTCGGAGAATTTTATTAGTTCACCAAATTCTTAAATTATTTTATTTTTATTGTTTATTGTTATCAGTTTTGAGTTTACGAAGGATTTTCTTTGTCAACAATTTGGCAGCCTCTTTGTATGAAATGTAGGTACTAAATTAACGATACCCTTTACACAATATCTCCGAAACTGAAGGAGATATTCAAAAACCGATAACGCTATTTTAAAAATCTTAGCTTAGTATGACTGCATTACTAACTCGAATTATACTATACATATGTATTATCGATAAAATTTCAGTCAATAATCGGTCCTATTATTGTTGTCGACGTCGATGCCGATGTCATTTTTTCACCAAAAAATAGCCCTCCTAAGTCCAACTCCAGCTACGAGAAAAAGTTTTCCTCGCAAAAATACTGTGGTCAGCGTAGCTGGACTTGGACTTACGGCGGCTATTTTTGATNGCGATCGAAGTTTGGAATGAAATTTCTCAAAAAACGCGACGATAGATTTTCTTCAAAATCTCGGAGAATTTTATTAGTTCACCAAATTCTTAAATTATTTTATTTTTATTGTTTATTGTTATCAGTTTTGAGTTTACGAAGGATTTTCTTTGTCAACAATTTGGCAGCCTCTTTGTATGAAATGTAGGTACTAAATTAACGATACCCTTTACACAATATCTCCGAAACTGAAGGAGATATTCAAAAACCGATAACGCTATTTTAAAAATCTTAGCTTAGTATGACTGCATTACTAACTCGAATTATACTATACATATGTATTATCGATAAAATTTCAGTCAATAATCGGTCCTATTATTGTTGTCGACGTCGATGCCGATGTCATTTTTTCACCAAAAAATAGCCCTCCTAAGTCCAACTCCAGCTACGAGAAAAAGTTTTCCTCGCAAAAATACTGTGGTCAGCGTAGCTGGACTTGGACTTACGGCGGCTATTTTTGATGAAAAAATTACATCGACGTCGACATTGACAACCATAATAGGGCCGAATATCTGGGAAACTGAAAGAGATATCAAAAAAGTGATAAAACCAATCCAAAGACTTTATTTTAGCTAAAAATCGTCAAAATGGCGCTTACTACAATTTTTATCCAAGCGACGATATGACGACGGCGCAAATCCAATTTTAGGTGGAAATTTTATTTAAAAAAAAAAAACAAAAAAAAATTGCTTAGGCGGTTACAATTTTTCCTCCCTCTGTTCTTTCTTTATTGGGCTGGGTCGCACAATGGGACTATAGCGGTCAAAAATAGTAATAGCGAACTAGTTGCTGTGCGACACGCCTTTACCGACTCCGATCGGGACCAAAATGTATATTAGACATCTTCGACTATAGTAGCATCGACGTAGGGATTGATGATTAAGAAATCGGATGTAAAAATTTGCTTCCTACATTTAAGCACCAGCCTAATATATGTACATACAGTAGGGTGGTAAAAAATGCAAGGTCGGACTTTCAATACTTTAACGAACTAGGAATTTTGTTCCAAAAAAAAAATGTATCCCTGTGTTTTTTTTATTTAGCAATCAAAAAATATTTACAGGTCGCTCAAAGCGCTCAAAGTTTTCCATGCATTTTATATGAGGAAAAAAAATTTTCTTCGTAGGAATGACATATAATTTTTGAAAGTCAATATTTTTCGATCGGAAAACTCTGTTTCTCTTCTGGAGACTTCCAAGAAGAAGAGTTTTCCGACCAAAAAATATTTTTTCAAGATTATATTCCATTTGTACGAAAAACTTTTTTCCCCATGTAAAATATATGGAGAACTTTGAGCGCTTTGAAAGACCTAGAGGTATTTTTTTCGTTATTGAACAATCCTAGGGGGTGGGAGCATTAAAAGTCTGGCGTTACTTTTTTTTTGTCCACCCTAATATACACACATAAATATGTACTTGCCATGTTATAAATCAAATATGAGCCAAAACCTCCAATGGCATCAGAAAAATCAATTCCTTCCTAGTAAGCATGAATCATAAAATTCCACTGTGTCTGCCTTAAGAGAAATTTGCTCATATCAAAGGGGTGACATGAAAATTTGTCATCAAGGATTTGGCAAAAATAAAGGAAATAGTAAAGGTATTGAGGTAACAGCTTGTGTGCTCCCCAAAGCTATTCACCTTTCGCCACCGGTTGCAAAATGCATTGAATGAACTCTTGCCTTTGCATGTTTGCTGAACTTTTCGCCTGCCAAATTGTTGTTGCTTTGCTTTAAGTGTAGCAAACATAAAATTTCCTTTTTGGCTGCGCACCGGTTGGCAACAGCTGTTACACAGGCAAAGTGCAATTGTTATGGAACCGCTCTAATTTGGCTGCATGATTTCAAAAGCTACTTGAGGCGGCCCATTAAATTTTTGTAATATTTGTTTACTTTGCGCTTTGAGTCAGTCGGCTTCTTCTATCAACGTCATCTTACATTTATTTATGTATCGCTGCATTTGGGTGACACTTGAGCACAAATTCAGGATTATTTTTTTTGGCATTTTTGCGTCCAAGTGTCGTTAGCTGTCATTTTCTCACATTTAGATGATTTTTCATTTTTTTGTTTTTGTGGGCCGGTGTGCCGGTGTGCCACCCTTTGCAGTGTTTCTTCTTCTTCTTCTTCGCTGTATTACAATAAATTGACACGTTGCCAAAGCCGTTGCCTTTTCCGTACTTCAATTGTATATCTACATACAAACATACATATTTGCATGCAAACATCCTTACGTGAATAAGTTTGTATCCTTGTTAGTCCACTCTGCGTGGTAGGCAAAGTTGTTGTACGAATGTGTTCGTAGTTTCGTGGTGCTATATTCATTATTCCGCCAAACGTGTAACTGAACAAGGAATTTTCACAACACCACCAATAACAACTTCGTTAAAAGTAGTACCCAAATACACACAATCACGTCTCACATAGATACCCTGCAGGAAAAATGTGAATTTGTGCAAGAAGTTGGCGATTTGCACTATGTTCCTGGCGAAGGGAAAATGATTCCACGAACAAGAATCAGTTGTAGGGTGCCCACAGAAGGGTAGACATGTGTGTATATTAGGGTGATCCTTAAAATATCTACATTATGTTATTTTATTTTTTCTAAATCGAAAAATTATACACAATTTTGACTTTGAACATCTTTACCTGAGCAAATTTATGAACTTATATGAATAAGTTTCAA